TTGGCGGGCCTGGGCTGGGGATTCGAACCCGCCACCTTAGGTGTATGTGGCTGGTGCCTTAGCCGCTTGAGCCACAGGCGCCGAGCCGACATCTCATCTCTTAAAGACTTACATAACAATTCAGTACGAGGAAAAACTAACACGTCTCCCATTGCGGTTTCTGTACTTTCTTTTTTATTTTTTGAGACACAGTCTTACTATGTCGCCCTTGGTAGAATGCCATGGCATCACAGCTCACGGCAACCTCAAACTCTTGGGCTTAAGAAATTCTCTTGCCTCAGCCTCCCAAGTAGCCGGGACTACAGGCGCCCACCACAATGCTCGGCTATTTTTTTACTGCAGTTGTCATTGTTGTTTAGCTGGCCTGGGCCGGGTTTGAACCCGCTACCCTGGATGCATGTGGCTGGCGCTGTAACCACTGTGCTACAGGCGTCAACCCTGTATAGTACTTTGCAAGAATTATCTGTTCGGTTAAAGATTCATTATACATCTTGAAGGGTTTTATTTTTCAAAGAATGCTGTAGTATTTAAGTTTATATGCCTTTTAACATTTTATACCTATTGATCTGTTTGAGTCAGACATAGAGGCTTTCAAATCTAAACATACACACAGGCACCCATGTTCAGAGACACTGACATGAACAGATATGTTCACACCTGCTCTCACACACAATAGATACACTCCACACACATATGCTGGTCATTCATAAAGTGAGCCCTGCACCCAGAGAAAAGCTGGTACCTGAGCTGAGAGCCTGGAAGGCACTGTGCTGCACCTGGGGACTCCTGACAGGCCCCAGCTGTCCTCCCAGGTTTCCTACCATTCCCTGGGTAGCCAGATTCATCGGGGAGCCATGCAAAGAGCTGTGAGAGAGGAGCTGTGACCCAGGACTCAGGGACACCAGGGAGAAAGGACTGGTGAAAGGTGGTGGGTATGTAAGTCCAGTACCGTAGTTTGGAGGAAATGGAAACTGCTGTGCATTTGCCTGGGGCATCCGGGGGTTGTTCATGGTTGCTGGTATACCACTGGGAGCCACCATGCTTGGTGTCATGTTCAACCCTTGTCCTCGCATCATCAAAGTCCGCTGCTGAACCTGCTGTTGCTGATGCATCTGTCTCTGTCGCAGATGCTGGTTCAGGATCTCCCTCTGTCTCTGGGCCAGCATCTGGGCATTAATAGGCGCCTGGGATCAGGAGCAATGAATGGAGGGAAACATGGAAGGCAGACACAGATTAAAAACCCAAGGGAATACTGTAGAAAGAAAAACAAATGGTACCTCCTTATGGAGAACTACATGGGAAATAAAATTGCTTGGAAAGAATAATTTCAAGTTGAACAGCTTGTGATCGAGAATGTGCATGTGAATGTCTAAGTTCTAAAGAAATGGCGAGTGCTCTGAAACCCTGCTGAGTCCATGTGAGTAGAACTTAACTTACTCCATAAGGACACAATTAACTGAAGGATCTCGAAAGAACACAGTCCTTTCTCTAAGACTCCAGGATGGCAGCTTAGAGTCTTAATTGAGTGACATACAAGTCTAAAGAGAGACAAAAATCCCTGTGACAAAAGATGACATGGTATACTTCAAAAGAGGCTGAACAGAGACAGGAAGAAAGGGAGGAGAGTCGGGTGGAGGGAGATGGGAACATATGGGCAGGCAGAGGCAGGGGAGGTGGGCAGAGGCAAGAAACACAGGCACTTGCTGTCTGTATGAGATACAAGGCTGCTTGCAGGTCTTAAGAAGACAGTTGATCCTCATTATCTGTGAATTCCTTATTTGTGTTCTGCTCACTAGAATTCACTTGTCACCCCCAAATCAATAATAGTGGCACTGTCACAATTTGTGTACATGCACACGAAAAATTTGGCAAAATTTTCAGGCGTTCAACATGGACATTTCCAGCTGAAGTTGAACTTACATGTAAATAAGTGTCCTTTTTGTGGTCTACTGAGTGTCAAGACTTTTGCATTTTTTTTCTTTTGTTAGTGATTTTACTCTTTAAAATGGCCCTCGAGCACAGTGCTGAAGGGCGGGATAGAGTTACCAAGTCCAAGAGGCTGTGATGTGCATGCTATTGACCGCTGAGTTCAATGCTAATGAATCAGTAATATTTATATACTAAATAAGATGTCTTTAAACAGAAACACATAAAACTAGGTCATGCTTGATTGATGAAAATGTTGTGACCAGAGGCTCGCAGGAACCTAACCCTGTGAGTCTCCTAGGAGCAACAGTTCAGTCCAGCATTCTCTAGTTGAGTGTTCGAGCTAACCTTGTGTAAGGCAGTTCCCTAGAGTAACAAGCATCAAAAGTACCTGGCAATAAAAATGGGAGTGTTGAGAAGAGAATTAAAAAACAGACCTACTAGACAGATAACTGGGTGGCAGTAGAGATCCAATGTGTTGATGGGATCTTCTGGCCTACTAAGTTACCTCATGCAGGGTTATCAAGAGGAACAAATTACAAGAGAAATTAAACGGATACAATGAAAGTGAATAGCTGGTCTGTTTCCTTACCTGTGTTGGTACTCCAGGCCTCAGAGTCAAGTTCACATTTGAAACGTTGCTAATTTGATTCATAAGTGGCTGGCGATTCTAAATGCATACACACAGGAATCAATAAATTTTAAAAACAGAAAACACTTTATTTTAAATCACGCTCTCCTCAACCCACTATCAGCCTGCTGTTGGCCTGCCGCTCCATCTCACATTCACCTCCCCTGGAGGTGCCCTACCCACTCACTGAGCCAGGCACCACCGAAGAACGCACCTGCTGTGCTTGAAGGCGATGCTGAAGCTGAAGTCTCAACTGATTTGGCTGGTTCTGCACGAGGCCTGTGGGCCTGAGGCCAGGTCTGGGCTGCATGCGAAGTGTGGCATAGCTAGGCCGCTGCCCCATGGCATGGAAGTTTGGATCCTGCATGGGAGTATAGCTACCCTGGGCCATCTGTGCCTGAGATGCGTACTGCTGTGGGAAGACAGGGGCCTTCTGCTCCAGCATCATGTTGGGATCCTGACTTGAGAACTGCTCTGGATCCACCGCTTGGCTCTGAAGAGAAAGCCCCAAATAACAAACAAATAAATTAAAACATGAAAAATAGCAGACTCAACGTAAGACTTTTCCTTTCTTTCTTTTTTTTTTTTTTTTTGACAGAGTCTCATTTTGTCACCCTCAGTAGAGTTCTGTGGCATCACAGCTCAACAGCAACCTCAAACTCTTGGGAACAAGAGATTCTCTTGCCTCAGCCTCCCAAGTAGCTGGGAATACAGGTGCCTGCCACAACACCCTGATATATTTGTTTGTTTGTTTAGAGACAGAGTCTCACTTTGTCACCCACGGTAGAGTACCATGGCGTCACAGCTCATAGCAACCGCCAACTCCTGGGCTTAGGCGATTTTCTTGCCTTAGCCTCCTGAGTAGCTGGGACTATAGGCGCTCACCAGAATGCCTGGCTATTTTTCTGTTGCAACTGTCATTGTTGTTTAGGAGGCCCAGGCTGGGCTCAAACCCACCACCCTTGGTATATGGGGCCGGCGCCCTACCCACTGAGCCAGAGGAGCTTCCCAATGTCCTGCTATTTTTAGCAGTGGGGTCTCACTCTTGAGTAGGCTGGTCTTGAACTTCTAAGCTCAGGCAATCCACCCGCCTCAGACTCCCAGAGTGCTAGGATCACAGGCCTGAGCCACCACGCCCAGCCTTGTTTTCTTTTACTGTCACATATTTAAGGATTTTTATACTGTGCTTACTGCACACAGGCACTTTTAGATTGGCTCCATTTTTCTTTCTAAAAAATACCTCTGTTGAACAGACCTAGTTACACAGGGAAAAAAGCAGGGGTCCAGTTTGACTTCCAGGGCAGTGTCTCTTCCGAGAGAGAGAAATGGAGCATGACTTCCAAACACCTTCCACTTACTCTACCCATCAAAGACTGACCTGAACTGGAAAAAAGTGCAACTACCTCCTAAAAGCATTAAATTGGGACACGTTCTCACTCCGTCACCCAGGCTGCAGTGCAGTGGCGCTATCGTAGCTCACTACACCCTCAAAGTCCTGGGCTTAGGTGATTCTCCTGCTTTAGCCTTCCAAGTAGGTGGGCCGATAGGTGCATGCCACTATGCCCTGCTAATTTTTTTATTTTTTGTAGAGGTGGAGTCTTGTTATTTTGCCCAGGGAGGTTGTGAACTCCTGGCCTCAAGTGATTGTCCCATCTTGGCCTCCCAATGGGCTAGGATTACAGGTATGAGCCACCGCACTTGGCCTGAAGTGTTATGTTTTTTGACTGATCATTCACAGTCATATAAATCATTTCAGTTAGACAACATCTTGGTACCTACCTGGGATCAGCAGTATTGGGATATGAATCACCATCACCCTCACTTTGTATATGGCAAGATGAGACTAAAAGGCATGATGTGAACTTCCGTGAGCCTATTCTGCTAGCATACGGTGGTTCCAATTCAGTTTGTGATTTGGGATCTGAGGGCCTCGCCAGGGTAATACGCTGCCTATTATTTGTTTTCTCTGGCTGCCAGAATTTCCCACACCAGACAATCTGCTTGGGACCTTCTCTGCTGTGCAAGAGGCTTTGCTTTCCTCTTATCTATAATAAAATCTATCCTTTTGCTTAAAAAAAAAAAAAAGAATCTCCCACTCCACCCTCTCATTACCGACTAGACACAGTCTATGATTTTGTCACCTGGGACTTCTTAGGGGCACCTATCCACTTGGGCCAGGATGGGGCAGGTGTGAAAGTCCAGAACTCCCCAGGGACACTTCAGACTTTGGGGCCCTGGCTAACTCTCCTGCTTCTAAGAGTAACTGCTATAAACCTAATGGCTTCGAGGTGGGAAAGACTCAAAGCAGCAATAAAATCTCTCAAGTTTTCTTTAAACTAGTACGTCCTAGGCCTTCATCAAAACAGTCTACCCATATAGTGCCAGAGCCCCTGAGTCCTGGGCTCAGACTAGCACAGCCGCAAGGCTGGCCTTTGAGCACCAGGGGCCCATTGCTGTGATAACTGTAGATGTGAGGACAGAGCAAGCAGGGGAAACCATTCCCGCTGAACTACTGCTCTAACTACATATACAAAACTATCTCAGAACTTTAAACATTTGCCCATCTTTAATAGAGAGAAAATCTAATTAAGTAATTTCCATTTTTAAGGATAATATATGAGGACAATGCTGATGAGTATGAATAAAGTTGCATGTATTCTGTATTTCCCAGTTCTACCCAATAATCATATTTTTATAATTTAGTTTAGCATGACAGTATTATTAGGATGATGGATTTGATGAGACAGGACAGAAATAACACACACCTTTTTAAAGACTAAAAATAGCAAATAATGACACGACACCAGTTACACGTCACTTAGCAACCCCAAGGATCTCATTTTTAAGTATTACTTAAACTCAAGGACAACACCACTTAATGCTAAATTCTATCATAAAAGGCAAAGCCACACCCGCCACACAGGAAATATTTAAACTCCATTTTTCTTTCTTGATTTCTTTCAGGTTATAGGCTGTAACCTCATGTCTTTTCTTTCCACTGTGCTGTTTTCAATATGAATCGACAAGTCTTTACTCCCACTTCTGTCTGCTGAACTGTGAGAATGGTGACAAGACTAATTTGAATGCTTCAGAGAAGCCTGAATGAATCTGCATCCCCTCCGTCACAGGCCTGAGGGTTCCACACGTCCAAGAAGTGGAATGGACCCTGGAAGGTACTTTGTGGCAGTAAGAAAGAAAGATGACTCATGCCGAGTCCAGATGAAGACAGCAATAAGTGTGTGATATGGTTTTTTCAGGTCACTCTTTAGGATACAGGGCCTCACACAATCACCTGCGCAGCTGATTCAGACAGAACATGTCACAAAACTTTGTTAGGCTGTTTATTATGTTTATACTGCTACCATGTACTTTCTGTTTTAGTACTCATTTATTTTATCAATAAGACAAATCAAACTATCAAGCACTTCCAAAACAGAAACTTAACGTTCTTAAAATAACCAATTACTGGGAAGAAGAAAACTAAGTGAGCTCATCAAAACTGGTCAACTTTTGCTATATTCCCATTTATGCTTAAATATCCCCCAAATTATTGTGGGCTAAACCCACGGAAAGGTCAAAATGGTTTAGAGGCAGTTGTAGCTACCTCTGAAATGATTTCTAACTTATGTGCCAAGAAATCTATTATTTTTATTTTTTTGAGACAGAGTCTCACTTTGTCGTCCTCAGTAAAGTGCTGTGGCATCATAGCTCACAGCAACCTCAAACTCTTGGGCTCAAGTGATTCTCTTGCCTCAGCCTCTCAAGTAGTTGGGACTACAGGGGGCCCGCCACAACGCCTGGCTATTTTTAGAGACAAGATCTTGCTCTTGCTCAGGATGGTCTTGAACCTGTGAGCTCAGGCAATCCACCCACCTCAGCCTCCCCAAGCGCTGGAACTACAGGCATGAGCCATCACGCCGGGCCCTCAAGTAATCTTTTAGCACCAACAGGTCCCCACCCTTATTCCACAGGGTCAGATTAACATCGCGGTCATTCTAGGCAGAAGGGGTCTGGGTCATTGGGCAGCAACACAACACGCTGTTTGTGGTTTCTCTATTCTCTGGTTCCTTGCCTGTCCTCCTGTCAGCAAGGTAACCCACTAGGTGCGCTAAACCTGAGCTTCTGGCTTTCTGCTCAATAACCTCAATTTTATAAAGTTCATTCCCAGTGTTTTCCAATTTGGGGCAAGAGTTTACATAAAAGTAACAAGGAGGGGGAAGAAGGAAAGAGGGCCAGCCTGCTACGAGGTGAAACGGTGTTCTGACAGGCAGACTGCAAGGCACCTGCAAGTGAAGGAACAGCCTCTGTGCGTACCTGGCTCACCAGTTCCGGGATTCCTAAAGCCCTGTCGATCTCCTCTAGGCCATCAAAGTTCCGCAAGGCCAGATAGAGCTGGTCCAGGAGTGCCCCCTCGTCACTTGGAGACTCGGCTGCAGGATGTGGACACAGCAGGTCATCTGGAGAGCTGCCAAATGGCTGCCTGTAAAGAGACAAACTTTACCTTGGGCCGATGGGTGATCAGAGAACGTTTTGGTTTTTTTTTTTGCTTTAAAGCCGAAAGTATCAACCATCTCCCAGGGTGTCTGCAATCAACTTCTGTGCCAGATGCACTTTGTACAGTACCTAATACAGGCCAGACACAAATCCAGAGATTTGAAGTATGACTTTTGTTTCCAGTGTTTTCACTTCACGGCTGTCAAAGCCACGGCTTGGCAAGGTTAAACCATCTGCTGGAGCTCACAAAGGCAGACACTGCCAAGCTGGGATTTCAACACACATCTGTGTGGTCCAGGGCCACCTACCCTTCCTGTCCCACAAATCTGTGCTGACCTCTCAAGCACATATGTATTTACTTTGAGCTAAAGGAATGAAAGTACTTTGCTAAACTTTAGTAGGAAACACTAATCGATTTAAGAATCTCATCTACAGGATACTGGGATGACCCATCTGGGAGAGACCAGAGACCTACAAGCATAAAAGCTGCATTAATTTTCCTGAGATCAGTTGCAGCTAGATTAAACTTGGTTGGGCTGATAGGAAATTTCTTAGTAATGTGTAAGAAGTTCTTATAGACAATTACCAAAGCTCTTACAAAGTGTATCTGTCAGGCTCCCAGAGATAGGTATGCAAGAAAAGTGAATCATGAACACACAAATTTTATTTGTTATTATATAAGGGTAACAGGTGATAAAATGAGAACACTAAACTCCAGACTCTATATCTAAAAAATGTCTGTAAATGAAAATAATCGACAAATTGGGAGCTTTTTAAAAAGAGCTTTTGACATACCTTAATACTGAAAGTGATACTTTTTTTTACTTTACAAAAAAAAAAATCTGTTTTGTACTCTTACTACATAATCTTTTGGAGAAAATAGAAGTTTACAGATAAGCAGACTCCTTACGAAGTGAGAGTAAACTTATCCAGGGATGAAGTTATCTACCCCAGTTCGATACGTCATGTTTTAGATGCTCTAATATGCTGTTTTGGCCTAGAACCCTGAAACATGGAGGCTCTGAGCACTGGAACCGTTATACGCAGTGCATTAATAATGACCTAGACTCTCCATTCACCCTTAGTCATTCTGAAAGGAAATCACCCACGTTAGTGTCCCCTGGAGGCCACTCCTCACCTGTAGGCCCCTGAACCTCAGTTCCCACAGCCTCTGAGGCATCATGGCCCACCCAGTACGGGGCCAAAGCTCCAAAGGTTACTGGGGCCTGCCAAGCCCTGGGGCCATGTGTTCCTCCCACTGCCAGTGACTGCCTGGCTTGGACCACCCAGGAGGCTTCCTACTCCTTCCAGCTTCTCCTCCACAGTGCACATTCTCCCAGAAACAGCCCTCTCAACTCCAGTGTGACCAGGTCGCTCCACACCGCTCCCTTGGAGAGCAGGAGGAGAAGCAGACACAGCAGCGTGGCCCTGAGAGGGAGAAAGCCACAGACTGCCCGTCAAGGAAGCAGGCAGACGAGGAAACTCCCCGGTGGAGAATGACTGGCAGGGGCACGTGGAAAGTTCCATGAAGAAGAGTTCCTGTGAGCCCAAGCAGATGCTGGCTCTTTACCAAGTTCTCTGTTACCTCACTCCCTAAAGTGGCAGGTGAAGTTAGGCATGTGAGTCTTTTCTCTGCCTAGCTTTAATTGGTAATAGCCAACTTCTGCTTCTTCAGAAGCTACGTTCATGTGCAACTTTCCCGCCCCAGATCTCTCCACTGATGACAGGCTCTCACGAATCTGGGCAAGGCCACGTGGACTCTGCGCAATGTTTTGGTCTTGCATCTGAGTGAAACCCAGTGTCAGAGAGAAGCAGAAACACTCGCACACCTTTACAAGACCACCTACCCTATGATGAATCAGCAATTTTTTTAAAAGCAAAAAATAAATGTAAACATTTGTTTGCATTTAAACAATTCCCTACACAATAATAAAATAATCCTTTTGGTTCTATGCTTTTCTTTTTTTATTAAAAAACAGAGTACGACTCGAACACATAGATTAAAAAGTCAAACAGTACATCCAGGCCTTCCCACTTTGGTCAAGGCGCTCCTCCACTCTAGGTGGGACTCCAAGGGTGTCTCCCCAACAACTTCCCTGCTTACATCTCTAATTCTCCTAGTATGATGCTCTCAGGTTCCTTTCCCCAAAAGCACATTTCACTGAGTACACGGGTCCTACTCAAAATTCTTCTGTGGTTCTTCAGCTCTCCCAGGAAGACATCTGAGTCCCGGGGAGGGTAGTGGTGGTAGAAGTCAAGGACACACACCTTTGGTTAGGTCCAACACTCTTGGACTTGGCACCCACGACTTCCCTGTGAGCCTCGGCCGCCCTGCACGACTGATCTTTCTCCTAAAGATGCCACACACATTGGAGGATATCGGAAGCCCAAGACTCTGGCATTCACTCCGTCCTTCCCACTCTCCCACCAGATCTTCCACCTGTCTCCTCACAGCCACTCCAGACCACCCCAGTCCCTCTCAGGGCTGTACCCTTACTGTGCTGTGCTGAACTGACAAGGGCACTTAGGTTAGAAGTGAAACTCCACACTTGCTTCCTGAGGGCAGGGACTGTACCTTCTATTTCTTTGTGGGCCCAGTGGTTGAACATAAACACAGCCTGGGAGCAGTGAGTTTCCAGTGAATGAAAACACGAGGTTCTTCATCCAGCTGTGCTATGATATACTGAAAACCACTTTTATTTTCAGAAAAATTCATTGCCCTGTGGCCTGGTAATATAAATATGGGCATATATCATAAGTTATAGCACTTCTCTTAGAGACATCACAGTATGCTTGGTTTACAGAAAAAAATATTGATCTAGACTTTCAATCTCAACTTTGCAAACTGCCACTAACATAGTGAATAAATTAATTTCCTACATGTGGGGCAATTACAAATATAGGAATAAGCTAAGTAGTACCTGGCAGATAAATATAATATTAAGTCAAGGATGGATAAAAACACACACAGGCCTAGGCTGGTACAAAATAGTAAGCAATAAATTAGCAGAAAAAAAGATTCATAATCAATAGAAACTCCATCCCTTAAAATCTACACATTTATGGGACTTGCAGGTCATTAAGAATGAGAATGGAATTAAGAAGGAGAGTAAGATCTTGTTTGAAACTATATACCACTGCCATTTCTTCACATATATAAGAATTTTCAAAATTCTACAAAGTACCTACTTAATGAGACGGTGTCAACAAAAGGAATTTTACTCTTACAGATACATTTCAAACAAGAGAAAACCAAATTAATTCAGACATTTTGAACTTAATGTGAAAAGAGCTTTCATGAAAGGCAAGTGCTCTATTTCAATAAATATTCAATATTCTAAATTTCTTTTCTTTCTTTCTTTTTTTTTTTTTTTGAGACAGAGCCTCAAGCTATCCCCCTGGGTAGAGTGCTGTGGCATCACAGCTCACAGCAACCTCCAACTCCTGGGCTCAAGCGAGTCTCCTGCCTACACCTCTCAAGTAGCTGGGACAACAGGCGCCCGCCACAATGCCTGACTATTTTTTGGTTGCAGCCATTGTTGTTTGGCGGCCCTGGGCTGGATTCGAACCCATCAGCTCAGGTGTATGTGGCTGGCGCCTTTGCCCCTTGAGCCACGGGCGCCGAGCCCAATATTCTAAATTTTAATAAACCTGACAGAAATGTTTAAAAAGTCATCTATAAATTTCTGGCTACAATTTAAATATCTCTTCTATGCACCACCTGAATGAAGGGAAAAAACCATAATGAAACTAAAGAAAAAGGAGATGTTTTAGTTATAAATAAATGAGTATGCAATATGTTACAGATTTAAGGGCTAAATTATTGTCATTTTGAAGTATAACTAATGTTAGTTTCATAAACATGACAAAACTTGTTTCTAAAAACTGTGTGGTATTTATGAAGAAGAGGTTTAAAAGAGCATTGCTTTTTGTTGTTGTTGTTTCAAAGGAGGCACATTTAGAATCTTTGTTATCACATGTGAATTTCTATGACTACAGATTACCATAAAGTTGTTAATATATTTCTTCTAAACTGAATTATTTAAAATAAAAGACATGAAATAAGTGGCCAGGAAAACTGAAATAATTTGAAAGTGATGAAAATGTTTTGTCCACACAGTTCTTATTCCAAGAAAACTAACAATTAACAGAAGCAACAACAGACCAGGATGGCGCTGAGCTTCACACTTGCGCACAGCAAACTGAGCAAACTTACTCTGTAACTGGGCCCACTGTAATGCAATTGCTTCCATTGTTGTTTTTTGCAGAACTCTGACCTGTTTGGGTGACACTAAAAATCCTAATTTGGAGCCTAGTTTTCCCTAGAAACTAATCTTTGACATTTCTTCCAAAAACAACTATCAGGTGCCCAATTTTAATTATTATACACTTGTACTGTATTTATGTATGAGTTTCCATGGAAATGGGTGGGTTTCTAACTTGTTAAATAAGCATATCTAGAAAAAGTCTGATATCATGAATTGAAGAGCTGGAAGGATCTCAAGAAACCAGCATCCCTGAGTGTGACAACTGTGCTAAGACACTGCCTTCCCACTGCCCGTGGCTGTTGGTCTGGGATGAGCCACACTGCTTGGTCAGAGCTTCGTCCTCTGTCTCCTACTGCCTGAATTTGACTCAAAGCAATTCTACTCTGGGCCTCTGATGTACTCTTTTGCCAGGTTGGACTGGCCCCTGTCATTTCTGCCTCACAAACTGGACCTTTTCTTCAAGACTCTGAAGCCTTCCTCATCACTCCAGTTGGTCAGTCTTTTGATACGTGGCCTGTAGAGCAGTGGTTCTCAACCTTCCCAATGCCGTGACCCTTTAATATAGTTCCTTGTATTGTGGTGACCCCCAACCATAAAATTATTTTCATTGCTACTTCATAACTGTAACTTTCCTACTGTTATGAATCGTAATGTAAATATCTGATATGCAGGATGTACTTAGGCGACCCCTGTGAAAGGGTTGTTCGACCCCCAAAGGGGTCGCGACCCACAGGTTGAGAACCGCTGTCTTAGAGGATTAATACTGCATCCTACATATTACAGTTACAGTGTACATATCTGGTTCTTCAACTAAGTTATAACTTCCGTAAAGGCATGATGCGGGTCTGTTGATTCTTTAGATTTCTCCCTCCCTTTCACTCCTGGCTGAGTAGATGATGTAGTCTGAATAAATGAAAACTGGCCAAGAGGAAAAGCTTAACTTCTGGCATAACTTAATAGAACTTACGACCCACCCCTCCCCTGCCTACACGAGGCACTCAGCACTCACCTGTTCTGGCTGGCAAAAGATGCCTGGTCTATAGGCAGGATGCTTTCCGGCCACGGGGCAGTCTGATTCGGAGGAGCTTGTTGTTGGCTATATTGAGGTCCCCCCATGTTCATCTCTAATTCAGATGGCCCTATAAAAAGAAGAACCCCCCCAAATCTTATATCTTACAATCAGAAAGTGTCTATTTCTGCTATGTAATATAAAGTATGATTTTCTTGGCATAGTTTCACATTTTTGCAAATCGCTCGCATGACTGATCGATAGAAGAGAGCAGTGTCTCCAGTCTGTCTCCATACTCTCTCTGCGGTGCTATCAGACAGCATGTAACTCTGGGAAAACTCGACTGGACACTTGGGGGATAGTTAAGAGTGAAGAACACAAATAGCGTTGTCTTATCCTGACAACAGTTTTGGCCTTGCGGACCCCCTGCAGGGACATCAGGGTACTGGTCTGGACCACTTGCTCCTGAACTTTTCCTAGATGCACTTGGGTGAGTTCTTGCACCACAGGAAGAGTGTGGCAGAAAGGAAACCCAGATATGCTTTCTCAGAAATTCTTCTGGAGGCTTCAAAGCTAATGGGTGACACGAGCTTTGTAATATTGTATTATTATCTGCACGCCCATCTTCCATTAAAATAGATAATTTACGGTTTAATTCATAGCTATTTTGAGTTATTAAAAATCAGAGAAATTCAGCTACAAGATATAGCTGATACAGTCTAAAAGCCAGATTCTTAGTGAAGACAGAGTAAATTTGGGGGTATAAAAAACTCATTACTAGGATTTATTTATTTATTTTTTGAGACAGATTCTTATTATGTCACCCTCGGTAGAGTGCTGTGACATCACAGCTCATAGCAACCTTCAACTCTTGGGCTTAAGCAATCCTCTTGCCTCAGCCTCCCCAGTAGCTGGGACTACAGGTGCCTACGACAATGCCTGGCTATTTTTCTGTTGTAGTTGTTACTATTGTTTAGCTGGCCCAGGCTGGGTTTGAACCTGCCACTGTTGGTGCAAGTGGCCACTGTGCTATGGGCGCCAAGTCCATTACTATGATTTCTTTTGAGACAGAGTCTCACTATGTCATCCTTGGTAGAGTGCTGTGGCGTCACAGCTCACAGCAACCTCAAACTCTTGGGCTTAAGTGATTCTCTTGCCTCAGCCTCCCAAGTAGCTGGGACTACAGGTGCCTGCCACAAGGCCCGGCTATTTTTTTTTTTTTTGTAGTTGTCATTGTTGTTTTAGCTGGCCCAGACCAAGTTTGAACCCGCCACCTAGGTGTACATGGCTAGCACCCCTGCATTATCTTTTTAAAACAACCTTGGCACCGTTCTGTAATGACTCAGCTCTTCCTCATTGTGTAATATCTAAACACATGAAAAGAACATTAAACATTAACTTATCAGAATTATGCTAATGTACCTGATAAGAAGAAAGTTAATATGCCAATGATTAGGAAAATAATTGCAAATACGAGTTGTACCAGTAATTATTTTATAGAACAGCTTTACTGGGATATAAATCACATTGCATACAATTCACCCATTTATTTAAAAAAATTTTTTTTTTGAGACAAGAGTCTCACTCTGTCAACCTGGATAGAGTGTTGTGGGGCCACAGCTCACAGCAACCTCAAACTCTTGGGCTCAAGTGATCCTCTTGCCTCAGCCTCCCGAGTAGCTGGCATGGCTACCATGCCTGGCTAATACTTCTCTATCTTAGTACAGGCTAGTTTTGAACTTCTGAGCTTATGTGATCTACCCACCTTGGACTTCCAGGGTGCAAGGATCACAGGTGTGAGCCACCATGCCCAGCCAATTTACCCATTTAAAGTGTATGATTCAATGACTTTTAGTATATTCAGAGTTGTACAATCATTACCATGTTCAATTTTAGAACATTTTTATTCCCTCCCCCTAAAGAAATTTATTACCTATTAGGAGTGACTCTCCACTTCCCCATAGCCCCCGACTCCAGGCAACCACTACTTTACTTTCTGTCTCCACAGATTAGCCTATTGTAGACATTTCACATAAATGGTACCACACAATTTATCAGACCGTCATTTTTAATAACATGTCAACTGGCTCTAAATAGAATTCCAGTGATCTTCAAGTAGTCTAGGATGGTGGCCCAGGAGTCTGTATGTTAAATTCCTGAGAAGATTCTGATGATTGTCCAGAGTCAGGATACACTAATGTGCCACTGAACTACTTCATTTTTAAAATGTCATATACACAAATAACATGTATAATGTAAAGGGTGACAGTTTCATTCACTCCTTTCATTCAACTTTCCCAAAGTTGAAAAAAAAAATTACAAAGGTAACTGGTTCTCTTCTATAAGTAGGATTCTATGATCCTATAGTTCCAGCAAAATCCCACTTGGGACAGCTTCCCATGGGCAGATCACCTAAACTGCAAATGAGAAGTACGGCTTGAAGGAACTTATGGAGCCGATACTGCCTACTGAGAAAGTACACACATGGAGAGGAGAGAGCACAGGAACTACCTTACCTATATTCATGGCCTGAGACTGGAGCATCTGTCTTTGGCCGGGCTGGCTGTTGGGTCTCATGGGGATGCTGGCCGTTGGGTTCCGAATCATGCCTCCTTGGATCGGCCTGTTCATGGCACTGGTGGTAGCAGCACAGGTGACTCTTATAGCTGAATTCTGTGGAGCCCATTCCCCAGATGGCATGGTGGGCCGAGAAGCATTACTACCAATCATTCCTGCGGGCAAAACACAGAAAAGTGAGACATGCAGGAACTGAAAATGTATTGTTTGAACACCAGATGACTTTGCTCTCTACAAGACAATCATAGCTAGTGCCCTCGTTGGGCAGACGTAGGCCTTGGCTAAGAAGTAAGAGTCAGAGTTGGCAATCACTATAAAGTTTTCATAACACAGCCTTGCCACCCTGCATTGTTCAGAAAAGCTATTAAAATTGTTCCCATCTGTACACAGACACAGGTGCTGTGGCGTGGGGATAACCCCGACTTCCTTCCTGAGGAAGTGAATCACATTAGCTGAGACACACGTCAATGCTTTTCTTTCCAAAAGGCAGGTAATGGCTAAGAGGAACAAGGTCAAAACTGATAATCAATACTCTAATTGCAAACTGAAATCCCAGAGGGCACCCTGGGAAGCCTATACCACACGGCTGAATCCTCAGATCCCTTTCAGACTATTAGAATTTGTTTCACTTCAAAATGGACCCCAGGTAGCCTCTAAGTAGTGGGGAAATGACAGGATTTTTCTGATATTTACTAAAGTTAGTTCTTCATATGCAGGGCAGGGAGCTGCCACTACTTTAGTGCACCAGGACTACCTCAGTCCTGGTTGTATATATATACACATCTAGAATGGGTTAGGACAGATCTGTGACAATCCCGTCACACTCGAGACTTGAGCAGTCATCTGGCCACACTAACGATGGGAGCACGATGCTGCCAAGTGTGTGTGCTCTGAGGGCCCCAGGCCAACATGAGCTCAGACTCGGTATTCCAGTGAGATTTCTGAGGTGTGAAAAGTTCTACTTTCAAATACATGACTTGCTTTCCTTTTCTTTAATTATGATTAAAAAACTAAAAATAGGATATATTTAACAAGTGGAGAGAACATGAATTGTGGGTGTTTTTTCACTTGTAAAATGGAAATGTGCCATGAGGATGATTAAGGGAGAGAGATAATTAGATTAAAAAGTTAGACGAGTACTATATTTTAAAAAACATTTTTAAGATTAGACTTGAACCGTACAAAAATATTATGGTGGAAAAGCTTTTAATGTTCCCTAAAATCTATTATCTAAAGAATATAACAATATTATAGAAAGTCTAGAAAGCAGAAGGGAAAATCATCTACAATTCAAAAATATTAATGCAGTAATAACTGGGATAGTCCCTTTCAGTCTATTTTTTTGTTTTGTTTTTTTGAAACAGAGCATAGGTATTATATAATCTTCACCACGCCTGGACACCAGTGAGCTCTAGGCTGTTCAGATTCTAATACGGGCCTCTTCTCAAATTTCTACCTAAGACTGCTAAAGGAAACTACATCTTCTTGTATCTGATATGCTGATAAGCCTTAATAAACCACTGGCTTCTTTTCTATTAGGGAAGTTTTCACAAATCAATATTTTGTTCATCTTGAAGATTTTATTTATTCATAAAATGCATATGGCACTGTTTCTGTGAATATATAAATTAGTGGGGCAGTCAGAGCTTGGCACACGTGGCAGGTGCTCAGTAAATACACGCTGAGTGAAGAAGCTACTTTAACAGCGCTTAGTGCACACCTCCTTACCACAATGGAGAGCAAAACATCCACCTTTCCCCCTCAAATTGAACTCTTGTATTTTGTGACCTAGCTAAATGGCCATGTGTGTATAGGGATTACAGACCAAGCTAATAATAAAATATGAAGAATTAAGACACCTACAACTATTAAGTTCTTTTTATGAGATCTATTTCTCCCAGGGTGTTTGTTTCTAGTACTCCACTGAGACAAAGGGAGAAAGCTGCCCAGCATCCTGCTGTACCCGTAATAAACAGATGTTACAGGATGTGGTGGTTGTAGCAATCAAGGCTGCTGCAATGGTTTCTAGCCTCAGTTGGGTGGAAGTTTGGGAATGTAGTGCCACTGTGACGATGACTACTTCTTAGGAAATGTGCCCGGGCAATTTGGCAGACACCTGAACAGATAGCTGGGTCCAAACCAGATCACAGCCAACTTCCTATGCCTTTAAAAGCAGAGATCTGAAAGTTACTATCAGGCCAGACATACTACTGTTTAAACTTCTTTATTTTATTTCCATCTTGAAATCCTCCAAATACAAATCATCAATTTGTAAGTTTTGGGGGTATCGTGGGCAAACGATCATGGAAGCTGGCCATCATTTTACACACACCCTACACAATGCCTAGAACAGTAACTGGGACAGATGCGTAGTAAGTCTAGGCTTTAGGATTAACAATTAGAAATCATACAAAAGGAAGGATCACAGAATTAGAAGGTTAGCTTACTAGAATGTTTTCCGATATGCCACTTTCACAGTGGACATGTGTACAATTTTCTTGCTCTAAACTGGTAGTTTCTAACATAAAATGTTCACTTGAAAAAACTTATACTAGTTTGATGTGGATGAATACATCATCAAATGAAATAACCCACCAATAAAGTAACAGTGCATTTGAGCCCTTACCTGTGCTACTGTTCCCTAAATTTCCTTGGTTTCCTATCATCCCTTGATTACCCATCATTCCTGGCTGAGGTATCACTGAGTAGGGACTACTGTTTCTGATTGGTGGGAAAGGTCCAGCACCAGTTGGGCTTTGCAATGTGATGTCAAGTGGTAAATTCTGGTTTGGCAATAACCTGCCCAGTTGCCCTGGTCGTGGGTTATTAAAAGCTAAGGAGAAAACAAATGAAAATTGATGGTTAATATAGGATAATGGAAAATAATATTAACAATAGTAGTGTTTAGGGAAAATGTCATCTGTAAAATGACAAATATAAGCACATCAGGGACCAAATGCCTACATAAAAAACAAATTCACAGACAAAAAACATACGCAACGCCAAAGTACAGACTCATAATCTAATCAAGTCTCTAACTGTTGATGATCTTGCAAAAAAACACACAAACAAAAAAACCATATGTACATTATTTACCGTATACTTTTCTCCCCACAAGTGATTTCTTTCTTTCTTTTATTTTTTTTTAAAGAGACAGTGTCTCACTTTATTGCCCTTGGTAGAGTGCCATGGCATCACACAGCTCACAGCAACCTCCAAGTCCTGGGCTTAGGTGATTCTCTTGCCTCAGCTTCCCGAGTAGCTGGGACTATAGGCGTCTGCCACAATGCCCGGCTACCCACAAGTTAATTTCTAATAGTCAACTTTACTTGTTAAGTAAACCACTAATGTGGTTTTTCTTTCATGTTTTATTATTGAAACTTAGGAGTACTGCTTTTTTGCATATATGAAGCTGTTAAGTGTCTCTTGGACATAGCATCAAACCTAAACATGTGTGGTTTGGACATTAGAATATCATTTATTTATTTACTTATTTATTTTGAGACAGAGCCTCAAGCTATCCCCCTGGGTAGAGTGCTGTAGCTTCACAGCTCACAGCAACCTCCAACTCCTGGGCTCAAGTGAGTCTCCTACCTCAGCCTCCCAAGTAGCTCGGACCACAGGCGCCCGCCACAATGCCCGGCTATTTTTTGGTTGTAGCCGTCATTGTTGTTTGGCAGGCCCAGGCTGGATTCGAACCCGCCACCTTAGGTGTATGTGGCTGGCGCCTTAGCCACTTGAGCCACAGGCGCCGAGCCAGAATATCATTTCTTTACTGTGTTTTCCTGGGTTTAGTGTTAGATTAAAAGTGGTTATCCTCATCGGAAGTTAAAATCTTTAAGTGTGAATTCTGTTACCTGAAGCAGTATTAAATTAAAGCTGTAGAGCCCTCCCTCCCTTTCTAAGTATAGCTTCTTTAAATTCTGGACATACTTAAGATTTAAAATAATTTTTATGGTTAGTTCACAAGAATTTATCATGTATTAAGGACTATATTAGCACCACACTGATAACCTGTAATTTAATTCTATTAAATTTTAAAAATACCTAGATAGTATACATCACAGTAAGATATCTGAGAATATCAAGTACTTTGTCTTCTCTGAGTTACATAAACAAAGTCTAAACTAGCACATTTAAAAGAAAGGTTTTCTTTTTTTTTGAGACAGTAGTCTCAATTTGTCACCCTGGGTAGAATGTCATGGTGTCATCAAAGCTCACCGTACCCTCAAACTCCTGGGCTCAAGCGATCTTCCTCCCTCAGCCTCCCAAGTAGCTAAGACTACAAGCATGTACCACATCTGAATAATTTTTTCTATTTTTTAAAGTAGAGATGGGATCTCATTCTCTTGAACTCCTGAGCTTGAGCAAATCTCCCTCCCAGAGTGCTAAGATTATAGGTGCGAGCGACTGCGGCTGGCCTAAAATAAAGTTTTTAATAACCATTAACGGATATAAAATATTTAGAAAAATTAGGGCTGGGAATGGAAACTATGTACATGTCTAATCACAACTTTCTCAGGCCTAGTTATCTGGTTACTATTCAGTACTCTCAATACCATTAGCGGTTACAGATGGAGGAAAAACCTTGAGTTCTTACACGGGCCTTCACTATCTCTCCTAGTTAATGAGCATGAACTATCTGGTCTATTTCTTAACCACTTTGACTCTGTGATCTCCTCTAAGGTCCAGAATTAATCCCTCATTGCATAAGAAAGAGGCAGGTTTGAGAAATAAGCAAAAACTAATCTTTCTTATGTTTCTTTTCAGAATGGTCAGAAATCACTTGAGAAAAGATCTAGACTTTAAGACCTTCTATGATTTGATTGATGGCTGCCATTCCTGCTTTGAGAACGAATGCTAGGGACTGGGTCAAAGTGTATTTGATAGGAAAAGTCATTCTGTTGGTCCTTTAACATCAAAGAGGTTATCTGTCTTTCTATAAACTATATTCTGCCATAGAAAAAATATTTTCTTCCATTCAAAACTATCAATACAACTTCAGGTACTATCAGGTTCATAAACTAAGTGTTCACAGTAAATAAAGAATTTATCCTAAACTTTAAAAAATTTAAATAGAAGATAACATGTATTTTATACATAGGCAACTAATTAAACTTAGTTCCATGTAAACAGACGTTTATATGAGGGTTCCTAAGACATACGGCAACATATTTCTAATATGTATAGCCCTTTCATGTATAATGATTAAATATTTTGAAAATCTTTAATAGTGTGTTATTCCAAAAAGCCAGCATAATTCTTTAATTTTCTATATTTTAAGTATTCATTATATAGCAAACATGTAAAATCTACTTTAAACTCCACGTGCGCAGGGAGTTACTGCCGTGGAGGGAATTATGACAGTCAGCTGAAGAACTTTATCACTGCAGCTCAGTTTCCTGCATCATGTTGGTTAAATTACTCACAAGAGACCGGCAGCTCTGTTCACCACATCTGTTCTGAATACTGTTTTTAAAGACCAAGACAGTAGATGGTGCTATTTGATCACAAAAACCTTGAAGTGACTAAGCTGTTTGCATCAGACCTTAATAATATCTGTTTCTGATAGGGATTATATGGAAATTTCTTGGCAGAACCAGCAATATCCCATACTCACTGCTCTGTGAAATTCGCAGTGCTGTTTTCTGGGCTCCAACAGGTGGGACAGGGCTGTTTTCAGCTGTGAGTTGCATGAGGTCATTGATGATGGCTTGCTTGTCCACTGATCCAGCAGGGGCGCCTGGCCTTGTGTCTGGGAAAAGCTGTGGTAATTGACTATTCTGCAAATCATCCAAAATCTCCTCCAAGTTGTCCAGCTCACTGCCAGGCTGCAGTTAACAAACAGAAGAGTTTATCCAGTCCTGCTGCAGGAGTGGGCAGCAGAGGCCCATTTATAACCCAGACCTGACTGGCCCGAGGCACTGCAGCCACATAAAGATGCAGATACACGTGCACCTCAGGCCCAACAGCTAATCGATCATTGTTAAAAAAATTGACTCAACAAAGGACAAGTAATGTAATCTCTTGGTCTTCGATTATCTGGTCTATAAAAAGAGATGTCTGAATTAGAAAAGAAAGCACTCTTCCAACACTGATTCACTCTCGGTTTATAAAATCTTATTTTATGCTAATCATTCAATTAATTACAAGTATGTATTATGTCTAATTTATTATGAGTGGACTGTGACTTACAGCCCAGGCGTAGGTCTTATAGTTAAATCTCTCTGAGAAATAACAACAACAACAACAACAACAACAGTTGTAGAAAATGTGATCCAAATTTGTGCTGAATGAGCATTTAACAAATGGTCAGTTCCTTTGCAGACATTTTCTATTTTCAAAATGTGCGTATGGGGGGGAAGGGGGGGGGCAAAAAAGCCTGAAGCAACCATGAACTAAACACTGCTTTCTCATGAGTGGTGCTTTTGGCTGCTTGCACTTTCCGTTTCCCATGACAATGGCTTTCTCAGTCATGTACCAGCTTTGGTGACAAAATGTAGGAAAGTAGGATAAAAACTGGTTGCCCCCAAACAGAGAATTTATTAACCTGTCATACCCAAGCCATACAAATGTTTCTTAGGGCCCATTCAATCATTTTCAATCACCAGCTTTAAAATAATGTTTAGTTTCACTGCCATTCGCTACTTAGGTCTATTTTTCTTCCAGGATGAATGGGAATTGATTCTAGATTTTACAGATACTCTTCTAAGTAGAATCTCCCTGTGCGCCAGGTATTTGAAATCAGATGGTGCCAACCACACAAGAAAATGGCCGAGTTATACGTGAGGACTGCTGCTTTCTAGTGCGAAAGTGCTATGAATGATTTTCTTGACGTGCAGGTGGAAAAACTGTCAGGCAGCTTCCTCAGTCATTGGATGAACTTTGAATCTTTGACCACAAGTGGACATTCCATCTACACTGGCAAATCAAATCAAATACAACTCATACATCTGGTAAGGAGTGATACTGAGAGCAGAATGGCTTGTTTACCCTAAGTATAATTCCTAGCCCCCGGGGAGAGGGTGGATTCGCTAAGACTTTTGTTAATTATGGCAAATGTAATGTATCTATATGGATGTCTTATGATTGGATGTATTTATTTCTCAAGTCAGTAAGGTGGTATTTTATTTGCTTCTTAGACAACTAGCTTAGCAATAACTTGGAGATCCATTTCCCTAGTGCACTATTAGACCAATTACAAAATCATTTTTTCCTTAGTCACTCAATTCTACCAAAAGGGGGAGGCATCAGATACGGGGGAGTTAGTCTTATTTTAAGTAAGGGTTAGGTTCCAAAGTGAGCACCCTGAGGTACAGACAGTGGCAGACAAAACGCAGCTCGAAGCTCCTCAGGAAGGTGCGGCACTGTGGAACTTCTGCAGGGGTGTGCAGTTTCTCCCTCACTACGGGAGCAGGTTGCTTTCTTTGGCTAGTTCCTAAATGAAACAGTTTATGAGGGGGCCACGCTGCATTTAAAAAACCTATAGTTACACGTTCACATTATTAGAGCCACAAGGGAACCCTAGCCCAGCAAACTCATGCTACCACCTCATGTCCCCCTGCGAGGGCACACACGTCATTGAGCTGAATAGTGGGCAAAATTGCTCATGTTACCTAAACAACCACTTAAGAACCATCTCTTTTTTTCTTCTGAATGTATGAAACTGACTTTGTGTATTTCAAATGCATGTGGAAAGTGACCACTGTAAATCTTTCTTACCATATTTTTGCTGAATACATAAAGGCATAAACTGATACTCTTGGTATAAACACGTATCGCCCTCCTATGACCATTACTTGGAACTTAGCAAATCAGTAAGAGGAATTCCTTTAACCATGTTAATACACACTTGAAAAACATTTCCAAAGATCAACAGAAATTTTCATAGACATTCCTATAATTTCTATTTCTCAGAAAAATGAATCATAAACATGCATGAGAAATATTCTTACAGTTTTGTCATGAAAATAGTTACAGAGATCAGAAAGAAGCTCCAAGAAACCATGAAGTTGATCTTTGTTCTATGAAACCATGTTTTCCGACTACAATGTTGCCCTGTGTTAAGCATTTTTAACAAGAGGAAGATTCAAGTGTGGGGTGCCGGAGGTATGCTGTAATAAGTCCCCCTCTTAAAAAGACTTTGCAGATTGCCTCTGAAGAGAAACAGCCAAAACAAATAGGTTCACATGAACAGTAACAAAAAAAAAGTGTTATTTTTCCTAATGGATACACTTATACTTGCTCCCAATCCCAGACATACATAAAAGAAAAAAAAATTTTTTTTGAGACAGAGTTTCAGTATGTTGCCCTCGGCAGAGTCCGTGGCATCACAGCTCACAGCAACCTCAAACCCTTGGGCTTAAGTGATTCTCTTGCCTCAGCCTCCCAGTAGCTGGGACTATAGGCACCCTGCCATAACCAAGGCTATATTTTGGTTGCAGTTGTCATCGTTGTTTAGCTGGCCTGGGCTGGGTTTGAATCCGCCAGCCTTGGTGCGCGTGGCCAGTGCCGTAACCACTGTGCTATGAATGACGAGCCAAGACAATTTTGACAATACATATTAACAACAGTCTGAGTCTAGACTCTTTCCTTTCCTTTTCACCTCCAACCTTTCATGCAAACGAAATTATAGCATAACCCATAACAAATGGAGAAACCAACGATCTTACTTCTTTTTTTTTTTGAGACAGAGCCTCAAGCTGTCACCCTGGGTAGAGTGCTATGGCATCACAGCTCACAGCAACCTCCAACTCCTGGGTTCAAGTATCATCCTGCCTCCACCTCAAGTAGCTGGGACTACAGGCGCCAGCCACAACACCCGGCTATTTTTTGGTTGCAGCTGTCATTGTTGTTTGGCAGGCCCGGGCTGGATTCGAACCTGCCAGCTCAGGTGTATGTGGCTAGCGCTTTAGTCACTTGAGCAGGTGCCAAGCCATGATCCTACTTCTAAAGAGTTCTGATGATGGTATTCATGGTTCTTCCTCTGTAATCTATACCTGTGTCTAACATAAATGAGCTTACTATAAGTCTAATATTACATATATGTATGTATATAAAAATAGTTGGGTAGTTTACATTTATTTCAAGTAATTCCTAATTAAAAATTTTTAAATCCATTTTTCTGAATAATTTTTATTCTTTAAAGGCATGTATTAAAGTTAAACCAACTTTAAAATTTTGATCTTTGCCATTTTTAAGAGTTGATCCAATTCATCTGTGGATTGTTTTAGCTCTTACTAGTAACCAAATACATTTGTCTTAAGAAAGCAAAGGAAATTGGTTCTATGGAGACACATAACTAAGAGCGCCATTTTCAGCTTACCATTTGAAAAATACATTATGACATTTTCCCCAGTAGAAAGAAATAAGATCGCATGGCCTATGTTTATTCCTTGTCAATTTTCAGAGTATACATTTAACATTACTTTAATTGTCCTAAAATTACTCTATATGTTCTTCTTTAAGAAGATGAAGTTCAGAGTATCTATACCTTTCGGTTGTGTAGTAATAATAAAATGTGATGACCATAGCATTCTCTTATTTTCATGTATGTTCTGGAAGAGATGAATTGATTTACATTGTTTCTGATAAAAATTTTCTTCTTTAAATTTTTGTAAGCTTTAATTCTCATCAAAACATCTTCTATTCCCTATCCACTTTTGTTAAGCACAATTTCTTTGCAAGACAAAAAGATTAATGCCTTCCTTTAAAATGCTTTGCCAAGATACTTCAAAGTTTTGCTTAGGCATCTATTTGAATGCTCAAATTAGCCACATCAATTTGAGTAGTTAAACTATTTCAGGCAGAAAATGAGTCAGAAAGATTTTTATAAAAGTCCTACAAAATGAAAATTAGACTTGATTTCTTTAATTTTTCATTTTTTCTGGTTTTAGGATTTTTCTTGTGTGCAAATCAACTTGTTCTCTGAAGAAAGTATAAAAAGCACAGGAATTTTAATAATGTAAGCATTCTAATAAATTACAAAACAGCTTTTCAAAATATTTTAAATATAAAGTATAATTTTACCACATTTACCTAACACAAAATTTTTAAGAAATAGCAATACAATTTTATCATATTTGGAGGGAAATTTTTCAGGACACTACCATTTAAAATATAGTGGGCTTTCTTATGGACTCAAATACCCAAAAGACATTCTTTTAAAACTATAGTATTTCCAAAGCTTATCATAAGTGTCCCAGTAGCGTTACAAAGACCAGAACAGTGTCATCTGGTTAGGCATCAACCATGTTCCACTGTGTAAATAAGCACACACGGGTAACTTAGAAGTCGGTGAACATACTGGAAATTTTTCTGTCACTGTTTCCTGCTGGTTAGGAAATGCTGTAGAAACAAATATTGTTTAAACGCTCTACTCAGTAAAAAATGCTATTTTAGGTATAATAGCATGATCAAGGTACTTCCTGTCCTTAGTAAGTCAGTAATAGGTTAAACACACTCAGTTAATGGCTCTTTTCTGAGTTAAAATAACAAGACAGTTAATGATACAATTCAGGGTCAGCAATAGCTTGCTTTGTCTTAGTAAATAAATAACTAGCTGTATTTCCTTGAAATGAAAGACAAGTCTTCAGTAAACGTGTATAGCAATTAACAGAAGAGACACTTAATCCGTATCTGGGAATAGTGAAAGTGAGCAGGAGGGGAATGAATCACTTTTTTTTTCTTAAAGTGAGTTATTCTAACTTTGATCTAAATTTAGATAATGCATACTTCCTGTGGTAACTTTTCAAGCTGCAACGTTTTTGATGTTAAAATTGCCCTGAAGCAGTATTTTCGGTAGAGTTTCAAATGAGAGTAGAAGGAGGGTGAGATCAGGGACTGGATTTCATTAAGAAAAGTACACTGACTGTACACGTCTCTGTGTGTGTTCGTGCTTGTGTACACTGCTGTTCACACACCAACATGAGAGATCTGTGCTGATCATACGCTGGGCTTTAATTTTCCTAGGTATGATACTTTTTTTTTTTTGAGACAGAGCCTCAAGCTGTCCCCCTGGGTAGAGTGCCATGGCATTACAGCTCACAGCAACCTCCAACTCCTGGGCTCAAGCGAGTCTCCTGCCTCCGCTTCCCAAGTAGCTGGGACCACAGGCGCCCGCCACAACGCCCGGCTATTTTTTGGTTGCAGCCGTCATTGTTGTTTGGCGGGTCCGGGCTGGGGATTCGAACCCGCCACCTTAGGTGTACGTGGCTGGCGCCTTAGCCGGTTGAGCTATAGGCGCCGAGCCGTATGATACTTTTGAGTAGAAAAATTCTCCTAAGTAAAAATATTAAACTACAAGGATTCAACGACTTAAAAAATAAAAAACCCATCTCTTTGGTCAGTTTCTTGTCTGTTGTGCAATCATATACACAACTATGGAAATGCCAGACCACAGTCCCCTCTGCTGAGTCTTTAAGTCCCTAGGGCCTCGGGCCTGGGATGGAGATGATTCTGTTTACAGAAACAGCGGCTGGCTACGCTAAGGTAGACCTGGTGAGTCACCACCTTGCCCTCTAGGGTGTGTGACACTATCTGGGCCTGCCCCTCCAGACTGCCACTAGCTTTGTATATCCTGGTCTAGTAAACCTCAAAAGATTCAAACAGCTACAGTTGTCAATACGGTTTTGTACTTCACTTTACCTAACATTGCTGTTAACTTTCTGCCAAGACCCTGGTTCCCCCGTCTCAAGATTTTACACAATTACAGAACGCTTGCTACACAGAAACTTGCACTAACATCTATGTTCAGGGATTTTTCAAGAGGTTTATATAACTTGGCTCCGTTTCTCTTGGGAAGGGCACAGAGGCTTGAAAGACTCTACCTGTCCTTTAGGAATGGGAGCGGCTGTCAAGACATCACAGTGAAAGAAGTAAAGAGGCCAAGTGCTTAGAAGCCGCGTGGAGCCAGCCAGAAGGGAACACGTGCGGCCTCAGGTCCCCAGTGATCACTGCAACCCCAAGCCTGTAGTCTCTGCTGACTCAGCAGAAGTCCAAGGTGCAGCAGGGGGTTCACCCTTCCTCTTCCCATCCACTGCTAGTCCCCAGGACAGTGACACATAAAATACCTACTTGCAAAACAAATTTCAAAAAGAAATTCATTAGCCATTTTAAGTAGGAAAGCCCTCATAGTTTCTTCACTTCCCAACAAATCAAGATTTAAGAACAGATCTGAAGTACAGGGCACGTCCAGGGATTAGAGGACAGTGGTAGCCCAGGGTGGAGTCTGGATCATTAACCCCACTCAGTCACTAATTCCCCAGGAGACACCCCACACCAAGTCACTGTGGCTATAATGACCTAGGGAGTGTGTGTGTGTGTGTTTTATTAAAGAAAAATAATAAATGGTTTACTTTTTCTGTAAGATGTCATTATTTCCTTAGAGTATTATCAAGAATGATTTTAGGGAGGAAGAGCTGGGGAGGTGCTGGTCAAAGGGTACAAATCTCAGTTAGACAGGAGGAATACTGGAGAGATTTACAGTACATCACAGTGGCTAAAGTTAACAATGGGTTCCACACTGGAAAATTTGAAGCCTTCATGTCACAAAAAACAGTGTGTGAGATAATGTGAACATCAATTAGCTCAATTTAGCCATTCTACAATGTGTCTGTATTCACCATACACCATAAAGATATACAATTTTTACTTGTCTATTAAAAAAGAGTGATTTTGAACGTCACTTTGGGTATCCTGGATTTTTTTCAGGGAATTCATTTTTCAGACAAAGAACAGCAGATAATGTAACTTATTTCTGCGGTTTTGAACTTACACAGAATGGCTCAGGCGTACTAATAGCTATTCAACTTTACCTCTCTTTTCTACTATCCATTTCTCCTTAAATATTTTTTTATACCCATGGCCTAAGAAATTGTTCTGCATTAATCAGAAATTTTGGCTGAGGAAAAAAAAGGCAGAATGAGGTTCAGATGTGAAAACCAGCTGAACTCTGATCTTAGTAGACAAGGTAAATAAGAAGTAATTCAATTAAGTCTATTCTGACAAAGTCCAGTTTCAAGGAATTGATTATGTCCAATTTAGGCATCTTCTGTAATAGGGGTCGGCCAACTACTCTAGGCTTGAGGGTTGAATCCTGTCTACCACCTGTTCGTGCATAAGTTAAGAATGGATTTACATTTTCTTTAATGGTTAAATAAAATTCAAAAGAAAAATATTTTGACATATAAAAGCTATATGATAAGCGAGTTTCTGCATCTGGCAGTGCAGTTTTACTGGAGTACAGCTAAACCCCTTTGTTTACATGGTGGCTATGGCGACTTCTGCTCTAGGACAGCACCGCTGAATAGTGGTGACAGAGACTACGCAGCCTGCAAAGCCTAAGATATTTGGCATTTGGTCCTTACGAAAATGTCTGCTCAACCACATTTTATAATAATGTCACTCTTTGCTAGGAAGAGTATTTTATTTTTTTATTTTTATTATTTTTTGAGACAACAGTCTCAAGCTGTCGCTCTGGGTAGAGTGCTGTAGCATCACAGCTCACAGCAACCTCACACTCTTGGGCTTAAACGACCCTCTTGCCTCAGCCTCCCAAGCAGCTGGGACTACAGGCGCCCACCACAATGCCTGGCTATCTTTTTGTTGTTGTTGTTGCAGCTGTCATTGTTTTAGGTGGCCTAGGCCAGGTTCAAACCCCCCAGCCTCAGTGTATGTGGCTGGCGCCCTAACCACTGAGCTACGGGCACTGCCAGGAAGAGTATTTTAAAAACACACACAACTTTGGTGAACATTTCAAGGTAAGAACAACAAAAGAGAAACCTTATTTTTCTCAAACTGCCCCTGTGAAGAAAATCCTTGATGAATACAGATTAGCATAACTGGGACAAGACGTTTCAAACTTACCTGGTCGCTGGGCTCAAAACTCATCTCCTCCTTCTCAGTTTTCATAGCTATTAACTTTGTGCTACTGGCAGGATCTGTCTTACTGTCCAGTCGCTCAAGTTTCGGTGTTATTTCTGGTAAACCAATATCTTTAGTATCATCTTTATCTAGCAAATAGCGAAGTAGTGCATTCTCTTTCTTCTTGGGGCTCACTGGCTCTTGTTTAATAGTCACTTCTGACCCAGGAGCTGTGCTGCTGGACTCCTGGCTCAGGTCTTTGCCTGTGGCTTCTGCTGTCAACTTGGCCAAGTCCACAGGGGAACTGCTGTCCTGCAAGAGTCTGTGCAAAATTTTATGCTTCTCCTTGAGCAAGGTTCCATGCGTGGACCCAGAACCAGGCAAGCTACCCGTGGAGTCTTTATTTGTGTCCGACAAAGAGCTGGCCAAAGGCGAGGGCTCCATCTGGTCGGACTTGGTGGTCAGCAGCTGCAGGAGTTTGGTCTGCCCCTTG